CTGACACGCGTGTCATAGGTTCGCCATCACTCGTATATACCAACAAGCTGGACGATGAGGATGAAATGGACAAATTCCTAGAAAAATAGAATCTCCCAAAACCTTATCAGGAAGAAGCAGAAAACCTGAATGAAATAAAAGCAGTAATAAGAAAACTCCCCCAAAACAAAACCCTGGGTCTGGACAGCTTTACAGTTGAGTTTTATCAAACATTCAAAGAACTAACATCTATACTCCTCAGACTATTCCAAAAAAGACCAAGAAGGAACACTTCCAAGCTCTTTTTATGAGGCCAGCATTATCATAATTCTAAAACCAGATAGAGACACTACAAAGAAAGAGAATTACAGGCCAATACCCTTGATGAACACAGATGTTAAAATTCTCAACAAAATATTAGCAAATTGGATCTAGAAATATATTAAAAAGATCATACATTATAATCAAGTGGGATTCATTTCAGGGATGCCAGGCTGGAATCCTTGGAATAAATAGTCACAAATCAATAAACGTGATATATCACATAAACAAATTGAAAGACACAATTACATGAGCATATCAATACATGAAGAAAAAGCATTCCTTGAAATCCAAAACCCATTTGTGATAACAACTCACAGCAAACTGGGAATAGAGGGAGCATATCTCAGTATGAAAAAAGGCCATATATGACAGTCAACATCATACTCAATGGGCAAAAATTAAAACCATTTCCCCTTGGTAAAAACAGGAACTAGAGGGGCATGCCTGCTTTCACCATTATTATTCAATATACTACTGGAAGTCCTAACCATAGCGATTGACAAGAAGAAGAAGTAAAAGGCATCAAAATTGGAAAGGAGGAAGTAAAACTCTCATTATTTTCAGATGGCATGATATTATACGGAGAAAAACCAAAAGACTTCACCAATAGCCCTAACCGGTTTGGCTCAGTGGATAGAGTATCGGCCTGTGGACGGAAAGGTCCCAGGTTTGATTCTGGTCAAGGGCATGTACCTTAGTTAGGGGCACATCCCCAGTAATGGGTGTGCAGGAGGCAGCTGATTGATATTTCTCTCTCATCAATGTTTCTAACTCTCTATCCCTCTCCCTTCCTCCCTGTAAAAAATCAATAAAATATATATTTTTTTAAAAACCACTTCATCAATAAACTACTAGATTTAATAAATGAATTGGGCAAAATCAACAGGATATAAAATCAACACCCAGAAGTCGATTGCTTTTTCATAAACCAAAAATAAATTCTCAGAAAGAAAAACTAAATAAACAATCCCATTTACCATTGCAAAAAAAAAAAACAAAATTAAGATACTTAGGAATAAACTTAACCAAGGAGACAAAATACCTGTACTCAGAAAACTACAGGATGTTGAAAATAGAGACAGAAGAAAATATAAACAAGTGGAAGAATATATTGTATTTATGGACTGGTAGAATCAATATCATTAAAATGTCCATAGTGCTCAAGGCAATCTACAGATTCAATGCAATCCCTATTAAAATACCAAAGTCATATTTCACAGAGCCAGAACAAATTTATATGGAACCAAAAAGACCCTGAATAGCTACAGCAAGTAAAACAATGTTGGAGAGACCACAATATATGACAAGTTTTACTACAAAGCCACATACTCAAAACAGCCTGATGCTGGCAGAAGAACAGGAATATAGATCAACAGAACAGAACAGAGACCCCAAAAACAGACCCACGCCATTACGCTCAATTAATAATTGACAAAAAACATCCAATGGAGTCAAGACAGCCTCTTCAATAAGTGATGCTGTGATAACTGGACAGATACATGCAAAAAAAAAAAGAAAGAAAAGAAAGAAAGAAAAGAAACTAGCGCACCAACTTACACCATACACACTATTTATATTAGGTGGGATCTGGTACTAGCCCAAGTGCCAATCAGTCATTGAGTGGATAAAAAAGCCATGGTATGTGTACACCATGAAATAATATGCAGCAATAGAAAAAGAAGGACCGCTGAAACCGGTTTGGCTCAGTGGATAGAGCGTCGGCTTGCGGACTGATTCCGGTCAAGGGCATGTACCTGGGTTACGGGCACATCCCCACTGGGAGATGTGCAGGAGGCAGCTGATCGATGTTTCTCTCTCATCGATGTTTCTGGCTCTCTATCTCTCTCCCTTCCTCTCTGTAAAAAATCAATAAAATAAAAAAAAAAAAAAAAAAAAAAAAGAAGGACCTCTTGCCCTTTGAGACAGCATGGAGGGACCTGGAGAATATTATCTATCCTAAGTGAAATAAGCCAGTTAGAGAAAGATAAGTATCACATGATCTTACTCATCTGTGGAATCTAATAAACAAAATAAACTGACTAACAAGGTAGATCCAGAGAGGTGGAAGCATGGGACAGACCGTGCAATCTGAGAGAGAACGTGCTGGGGTGTAGGTGGGTGGTAGGACAAAAACCAAAGAACTTGTATGCATATATGCATAACCCATGGACACAGACAATAGGGTGGTGTAGGCCTACGGGAAGGTATGTGGTAGGGCTAGTAGGGATCAATAGGGGGGTAAAGGGGACATATGTAATACCTTCAACAATCTATATAGTAAAAGCCTAAGAACTGTTATGGCGGGTCAACCAGAACGAACAATCGCTATGGTGCTCACTGGCCACCAGGGGGCAGATGGTCAACGAAGGAACTGCCCCCTGGTGGTCAGTGCGCTCCCACAGGGGGAGCGCCGCTCAGCCGAAGCCGGGCTCACAGCTGGCGAGCACAGCAGCGCTGGTGAGAGGCCCTCTCCTGCCTCTGCAGCATTGCTAAGGAACAACAGGCCGAGCGGGAAGGGGCTGCAAGCAGGCGGACAGTAAGGATCAAAGGGTCCTGGACTGCGAGAGGTCACAGGCCGGGCTGAAGCCCCTGTGAACCCAGGGCACAAATATCGTGCACTGGGCGTCTAGTCTATATAATAGTATATAAAAGCCTAAATAACCAAGTGTCCGAATGACCATTTGACCAGTCGCTATGATATGCACTGACCACAAGGGGGCAGATGCTCAACGCAGCAGCTAACCCCTGGTGGTCAATGTGCTCTCACGGCAGGAGCCTTGCTCAGCTGACTGATGGGCGCCAGACGCCGGGCTAACGCCTGGTGAGTGCCGCTGCGGTGGCACGAGACTCTCCAGCCTCTGTGGCAGTGTGCTACTGAGCAGCGGCGACATGCAGAGTGGGGCTGGGATGAGTGGGAGCGGCATAACACCCAGCAGAAGCTCGGGCTCCTCCATGGCCACCTGTAGCTACGTGCACTATATCCCTCGGGGGATGTCAGACCTTTCGGGGAATAGGGCGACAGTCTGGATTGCGAGTGGGCCTAAGCCAGGCTGAGGGACCCCACTGCTGTACGCATCCGTTCACCAGGCTTCTAGTAAAGGTATAATTTAAAAAAATACATACTGAAAACAAAACCACCACCAAGAAAACATGGTAATTTTCCAGTAATCAATAGAAAACAAATGGTATCTACATACAACCTGATAAGGAATCCAAACTACTTTTACTTTTAAAAACATCTCTGAGCTACAAGAAAACACAAATGGAACCAACAAAATGACAAAATCAACCCAGTAACAAAAGGAAAATATCAGCCCTTGCTGGTTTGGTTCAGTGGATAGAAGGTCAGCCTGCAGACTGAAGGGTCCCGAGTTTGATTCTGATCAAGGGCACATGTCCGGGTTGCGGGCTTGATCCCTAGCAGGGAGCATGCAGGGGGCAGCCGATCAATGATTCTCTCTCATCATTGATGTTTCTATCGCCCCCTCCCTTTCCCTTCTTTCCTTAAGTCAATAAAAATATATTAAATTAAAAAAACACCAAAAAAGTACAAAAGGAAAATATAGGTAGACAGAAATCATAAAAAAGAATGAAACAAATGCTGGAGATGATAAATTACAAGGAATGAATTGAAAACATAAAATGAAGAGTATCAAAATCAGACGCGAAAGAATATGTGATGTCAAAGACACATCATTTGAAATCATTCAGGTGGAAAGAAAGAGGAAAAATGAATTTAAAGAATACAGCAGCCCCAGCTGATCTGGCTCAGTAGACAGAGCGTCAGCCTGCAGACTGAAGGGTTTCAGGTTCGATTCCAGCCAAAGGCACATGCCCGGGGTGTGGGCTTGACCCCCCAGGAGGGGGCAGACGATCAATGTTTCTCCCTCATCATTGATGTTTCTATCTCTCTCCCCCTCTCTCTTCCTCTTAAATCATTAAAGAAGTATATTTCTTAAAAAAAAACATTAAAAAAAAAGAATACAGCAATGTGAACTAAGTAACACCATCAAGAGACCCATTATCTGCATTATGGGAATCCTGTGAAACACAGGCAGGTGGGAAGAGACAGAGGAAAACCAGGAAGGGAAAAAGAAAAAGGCATAGAAAGTTTATTTTAAAAAATAAAATAAGCTGCCCTAGCTGGTTTTGCTCAGTGGACAGTGTTGGCCTGTAGACTGAAGGGTCCCGGGTTCAATTCCAGTCTGGAACACAAGCCTGGGTTATGGGCTCGATTCCTAGGAGGGGACATGCTGGAGGCATGTGATGAATGATTCTCTCCCATCATTGATATTTCTCTCTCTCTCTCCTCTCCCTTACTCTCTGAAATCAAGAAAAATATAAAACAATAACAACAAAAAACACAGGCTAAGGATGTAGAAAAAATATACCCAAAAATATGTACAAATGACCAACAAAAATATGAAAAATACTTTTCCTTGCTAATCAAGGTGGAATCCATTAGGCTCCCTGCCACACTACCAACCACATATTCATCCCTATGAGTTCAGTGCAGCAGGTATAAGGGCTGCACGGAGAGAAGCTGGCAGTGCAAGCAAAGGACAGCAACTACCCAGAAAACTGGAAATCACCCAGTGCCCAAGGTCCACATGTGAGGATAGAGTGCACCTGAGAAAAGAGGCCTGGGGAAGTGCAAAGCCAAGTCCAGGTCATTCATGAGAGTGTGAGGGTCTTACCCAGGGAGGATATAAGTTCAAAGTTCTCCAGCATCACATTCAGGTACAGCTGTCTCTGACCCTCATCAAGGAGGCTCCATTCCTCCCTGGAGAAGTACAGGGCAATGTCCTCAAAGGTCACCCCAACCTGTTAGAATTGAGACAATTGAAACCAGAGCTGCCTCTCTGAGAACCTGCACTCCTACTCCTTACACACACGTTCCCCACCCTCAATCTCCTCCAGGGCACCCAGGTTAGTGTGGATACCAGGCCCTAACGCCAGTGCAGGCTGCTCTCTTGTCACAGTCCCATTACTCACTGCATGGCCCTCAGCAGAGCAGCTCAGTTGGGAAGGGGGACAGCACAGAAACACTATCTAAGCTCTGGGTGATGCCTGCAGGACCCCAGGCTTCCTGCCAATCAATACCACTGCAGTCTCCCAGATTATGCCTCCAAGACAAAGACAAACCGAGGCTTATGCTTCACTCTAAGTCCCCACACCAGGTCCGGGACCATCAGCTCACACTTCCTCCAGATGTGCACACCTCTGCGTAATGTTTATCCCCTTCCCATGTTCATATCCCAGGTTCACTCCCTCAGCTCTGCCCCCTTCCTGCCCCAATGCCACTGGATCTCGCTGGACTCACCCATGAACTTGGCATGCTATCCGAGAGAGCTTGTATTTCAGCCAGAACCAGGTCCAAGCAGCCCACTGATGGATCCCGGAGCCCAGAAAGCCCGGATTGAGATTGTGACGTCCTCCCCGTCTGCCTCTGATCTTTACTTCAATACTCACCATCCACATCCTCATGGGAACCTCAGATACTAGTCACCCCTGTCCTCTCTGCCCTGCACTTGCTGTGTCCTCAGAAGCCACAACACTCCTCTCTCCCCTCCGCCTTCCTCACGGGCCTCCACGCGGGACTGAGCTGCAGGACGGGACAGGCTCCCGCCCCCGGGGATGCCCTGTTCCGTGTGAGGAGGCGGTGAGGGCCCGGGGACTCGCACTCACCTGAGCCCAGCGACTCAGTGCGGATGCGGCCATTGCACTCAGTGGAGGAAGCAGGGCGGGAGCGGCGGGAGAAAAGGCAGCCGCGGGAAGGGCGGTCCCTGTCCCGGCCACGGAGCGGGTCCCCCGCGTTACCATCTTCACACCCGCGCGTGTGCTGTGTGCACCACAGCTCTCCCGGCTTTTCCCTCGGGGCATCTCCACTAGAAACTAGCGATCTGGAATCTCCGATAAGGTAGCGACGGTACCCGAGTCCAGACAAAATGCCTCCCTTGCGGCCACCGGAAGTACCGCCTCTAGTACTTCACCGGAAGCGCATTTTCTGACCCTTCATTGGTTTCCGCGTGGTATTGCAGATTTCGCTTTTGCATAATGTGGGTTAGTCCCAGGCTGGGGTCCAGGGTTTACCCACCTCACCACCAGGGGAAAAAACCAAGATAGCCCTCTGGAGAGGCTTCCCATCCTAATGAAAGAGTCATCTTGAAAATGGCTAAAGAAAGTTATCTTTTCCTGGTGAAGGGACCTGAGTACGTGCAAATGAAAACACGTGATCCCTGAGCCCAATACAGCGACTCATAATAAAGAGGTATGAATGCATTAGAGTCTAGAACATCTTATCCCAAAATGACCTACTTAAACCATCATATATGAATAGGAAAAATGTAACATAGGAATATAGGACAGACTTTTGAAATAAAAAAGAACTAAGATGCATAATATAAACTTTATTTTTTGGATAGACTGGGAGAGATACAGACACCATGAGAGAGACACATCCTTTGGCTGTCCCCTGCACGCCCCCTATTGGGGATTGAGTCCACAATCTGGGGATGTGCCCTGACCAGGAATGGAACTCCAGGATCTGTTGATCCATGGGAGGACTCTCAATCCACTTAGAAACACCTGCCAGGGCATAATATAAACTTTAAATGGAACTCTACTGTTTCGTTTTAATTTGAACATCAACTAAGATATAAATTTTTAAAAAGTGGAAAAATTGACTTTTGTTATTGGTGGTTTTCTTCATGAGAAAATGCTATTGTAATTCTCATAGTGAAAAAAAATTTGTCCTTTATAGACATATCTAACATGTCAGGTGTGATGATGTTTTAGACATTTCAATGTGATGAGACTATGAACATATTTATAAACAATATTTAGAGTAAATGAAGTCTATATTCACAATGAAAGTTGAGCCATGTATAACTCAGAAACTTAAAAAAATCACACAAAATATAAAAAGTAGTTATGGGTATGCATCTGTGCAATAAATATTAAAATCAATAATAATTCTTGCTGGCTGGCGTGTTTCAGTGTTTGAACATCAACCTATGAACCAGGTCAGAGTTCGATTCTGGTCATGTTACATGCCCGGGTTGTGGGCTAGATACCAGTGTGGAGTGTGCAGGAGGAAGCTGATCAATAATTCTGTCTCATCATTGATGTTTCTATATGTCTCTCCTTCTCCCTTTCTCTCTAAAATCAATGAAAATATATTAAGAAAACAAAGCAAAAAGCCCTAAATAATCTAACAGAAGAGTTTAAAAATTTTTTAAACTTGCCATAAATTATAGAAGTCAGTTCTAAATAAAAATAATCTCCAGCATCCTGAAACCGAAACAATGGTCAGAGTCTGACACTCCTGGTGAACGGCTGGCATGGGAACACTGGACAGCACTTTCTTGTCCATGAAACATCTTCCCAATATACTCAAATCCCTTTGCTCCCTTCCTTTATGTTATTTATTTATAAATGAATATATATTTTTTAATTGATTTGAGAGAGTAAGGGAGAGAGAGATAGAAACGTCAATGATGAGAGAATCACTGATCTTCCGCCTCCTGCACACTCCCCATTGGGGATCAAGCCCATAACCAGGGCATGTGCCCCCGACTGGAATCGAACCCGGAACCCCTCTATGCACAGGCTAACACTCTACCTGCTAAGCCAAACCAGTCAGGGCACCTCTCCTTTTAATGTGTGCTCTTAAAATCTTCAGGAGCCACATGCTTGTCATTCCTGAGTGCTGCTCAGTTTATACAGGGTAGAAAAAGTAGGTTTACAGTTGTGAGTATGCAAAACACAGTTTATTATTGTATGATTATTCTTCTAATATTGTATTAGAACTATAAACCTACATTTGCCACCTCTGTGTTTTCACATCACCTGTCACCTAAGAATTTACTATAACATAGAATATTTTCTCTTTGGTGATTGGCTACCCTTTTAATAAAGCCTTTGATGAAGCCTGGTAGGGAACCTGTTCCTTTATTCACTGCTGTGTAACACAGCCTCTGAAGCAGTGACATTATTAATAAAAGACTGTTGAGCCCTAGCCGGTTTGGCTCAGTGGATAAAGAGTCAGCCCAGATTCGATTCCGGTCAAGGGCACATGCCTGGGTTGCGGACTCCATCCCCAATGTGGGGTGTGCAGTAGGCAGCTGATCAATGATTCTCTCTCATCATTGATGTTTCTCTCCCTTACTCTCTCAAATCAATAAAAATATATTTAAAAAAAAACTGTTGAAAGAATGAAACTTGCTGCTGTGGCTATTTTTCTACAATTCTAAATTGTTCTGCTCACATCTTACTCTTTCTCACCTCACCAGTATTTCCCGAAGTTGGCATGAATTGAAAAACACACACACACACTTTGCTGTAAGAAGAATTTCAGTGTAGCCAAGTTTTCAAGAGAGCCAAAGCTTAGGTTAATTTTCTCATCTCTTAACAATCAGGCCCTTGCCGGTTTGGCTCAGTGGATAGAGTTTCAGCCTGTGGACTGAAGGGTTCCAGGTTCAATTCCAGTCAATGGCATATACCTGGGTTGCAGGCTCCTCCCCACCCCAGGCCATGGTCAAGGCATGTGCAGGAGGCAACTAATCAATGTGTTTCTCTCACACTGACATTTCTCTCTCTCTCTTAAAATCAAGAACACATTTTTTTAAAATGCCTACTTTTTAAAATATATTTTATTGATTTTTTAGAGAGAGAAAGGGAGAGGGATAGAGAGTCAGAAACATCGATGAGAGAGAAACATCAATTTAGCTGCTTCCTGCACACTCCCTACTGGGGATGTGCCCGCAATCAAGGTATATGCCCTTGACCGGAATCGAACCTGGGACCCTTCAGTCTGCAGGCCTACGCTCTATCCACTGAGCCAAACCAGCTGGGGCAAAAATGCCTATTTTTTTAACAAGGGTTTTTTTTCCCTCTAACCCTGTCCAGTGTGGCTCAGATTTTAGGGCACTGGCCCACCCACTGAAGGGTCTTGTGTTTGAATCTGGTCAAGTGCACATACCTGAATTGCAGGTTCAATTCCTATCCTGGTTCGGGAAATGCAGGAGGCAACCAATTGCTGTGTCTCTCTCACAAGGATGTTTTCTTCTCACCCTTCCACTATAAAAATCAATGGAAAAAATATTCTCGGGTGAGGAATAACAACAACAAAAAGGTGTGTTTTTCTCTCCCTCTCCCTTCCTCTCTACAACTGAATAAAAAATACATACATTTTTTTTAATATTTCATTTTATAAACCACTTGATGCTACTTATAAACTTGATGAAACACATCTAAATGTGCTGTTGTTTTTATAAAATTAATGTATTGCTTAATTTTCTAAAAATGTGTTTTTATTGAGCTTTAGATTGAGCGGGAGAGGGCTAGAGATAAAAACATCAATGACTGAAACCCTACTGTGGTTTCAGCCCAAAATGTGGGCATGTGCCCTGACTGGGATTTGAACCAATGACCTCTTGGTTAATGGGTTGACACTCAACAACTGAACCACACCAGCCAGGCTCAGTTTCATTTTCAAGTACTTCAAATATTCTGAAATAACACAAAATATGAAGTAAAGAAATTCCAAAGTTAATTACACCATGAAATAAGCATAGACCACTCCTGTGTTGTATATATTAAAATTTAATCCATGCTGAGAGAAACTGCCAGTTTAAAACTTACAAAATCAGCCCTGACCAGTGGATAGAGCGTCAGCCTGTGGACTCAAGAGTCTCAGGTTCGATTCCAGTCAAGGGCGTGTGCCTTGGTTGCGGGCACATCCCCAGTAGTGGGCGTGCAGGAGGCAGCTGATCGATGTTTCTTTCTCATCGACGTTTCTAACTCTCTATCCATCTCCCTTCCTCTCTGTAAAAAATCAATAAAATATATTTTAAAAAAAAACTTACAAAATCATTGGCAAAGCAACTAGAAATATGGCTGAAGGTATCCTGTCTCCAATTGTTTGTGAGGTATATTAACTGTTTAGACTTGTGACAATGCTTTTTCATTCAAGGCTTCTTTCCTTGATTAAGTTACCTGAGGTTTTGCTAAAGACTACCGAATTGAATGTGTTTGTCAGTTATTTCTGCATGGATTTCCTGGCAAATGACAAAGCAACATGAATTACTGCAAACCATGCTATATTCACTGCCCAAGTAGTGACTAGCTGTAGTGTCAACTGATTTCTAATGTCTTACTTTGCTGCCCTGACCGGTTTGGCTCAGTGGATAGAGCGTCAGCCTGCGAACTGGGAGGTCCCAGGTTCGATTCCAGTGGGGGGCATGTGCCTTGGTTACGGGCACATCCCCAGTAGGGAGTGTGCAGGAGGCAGCTGATCAATGTTTCTCTCTCATCGATGTTTCTAACTCTATCCTTCTACCTTCCTCTCTGTTAAAAATCAATAAAATATATTTTTAAAAAAATATTCACTCATTCTTGATCTCTAATGATCACGTATGAGATGTTCTTCCAACTAAAGTGTTTTTCATTCTGTCACATTCATTGGATTTACCTCAGAAAACACTCTTTAGACATATACTGTCCTAAAATATTTTCATCAATGTTGATTATATCTGAGGTTTATAAATTTTTTCATCAATATACAATAAGAGGTAACTGGTCAATAAATACAGCACTGTTGTCTTTGTATTGAGCTATTGTTCTTTACATACTATTATCTTGAGGGCCTACAGATTTTCCACAAAGCAACTACCTGTAAATTCTCTTATGTTTAACTAGTGGCCCAGTGTACGGAATTTGTGCAGAGGGCGGGCGGAGTCCCTCAGCCCAGCCTGCACCCTCTCCAATCAGACATCCCTCTCACAATCTTGGACCGCTGGCTCCTACTGCTCACCTGCCTGCCTGCATGATCGCCCCTAACCACCTCTGCCTGCCTGATCGACCCCAATCGCCATCCCCTACAGCTTGATCTCGCCCCCAACTGATCTCCCCTGCCAGGCTGATCTCACCCCCATCTGCCTCTGCCTGCCTGATTACCCCTAACTGCCCTCCCTTGCCAGCCGGATCTCTCCCCAAATGCCCCCCCTGCCAGCCTGATGTCTCCCCCAACAGCCCTCCACTGCCAGTCTGATCTCGTCCCAACTGCCCTTCCTTGCCAGCCTGATCTTGCCCGCAACTGCCCTCCCCTGCCGGCCTGGTTGTCCCCAACTGCCCTCCCCTGCTGGTCTGATCTCACCCTCAACAGCCCTCCCCTACCAGCCTGATTTTGCCCCTAACTGCTCTCCCCTGCCTGCCTGCTCTCGCTTCCAATTTCCCTCCCCTGTCATCCAGGTGCCCCCAACATCCCTCCCCTGCCAGCCTGATCTCGCCCCCAACTGCCCTCCCCTGCCAGCCTGAGCTCACATCAAACTGCCCCCCCGTCGGCCTGATCGCCCCTAACGGCCTCTACCTCAGCGCCCACCACCATGGCTTTGTCCAGAAGGAAGTTGGATGTCCAGAAGATGGCCAGTTGACCCAGTCTAATTAGCATATTACCCTTTTAGCAGTATAGATAGATTATATAGGATAAGATTGCTTAAATGGGGGGGAGGGGAGCCTTTTTCATCAGGAGGAGTGCTCTTGGCAGACAAAAATACATAATACTTACATCGGGACTGATAACCAGCCATGCACTATACTGCCAAACCGGTCATCAAAAAATTGAACTGCTTCCTTACACCTTACACCAAACAGCTGTAAAGTGTTTTACAGCTCCCTGAGGAGGGCACTTAAAACCCCTCCTCAGCCCCCACCTTAGGTTCTGCCTTTGCAGTTCACCCAGATGAGGTTCTAACTGGTCAGTTTCTATGCCAATCAGCATCAAAAGCTCTGCTTCCTAGGCAGCCATTGGCTCCTCTCACACTTCATCCAAATTTGGTTCTGGTTGGTTGGTTTCTATGCCAGTCAGTGTCAAAAGCTCCACCTCCTAGGCAGCCACTGGCTCCTCACACTTCACCCAGATTTGGTTCTGACTGGTCGGTTTCTATGCCAGTCAGCGTCTCTGAGCCTATCAGTGGAACTGATCAGAAAGGCAGGGCTGATCAGCAGCCCCAGCAAAGGCCAAGAGAAAGAGGCCAGCTGCTGGCCAGGCCCAGAGCAAAAGAGAGGGGGAAGTGCTGATCAAAAGCTGCCATGGAGGCTACGGATCAGACCCTGTCTCTCTGTTTCCAGACCTCTCTTCGGGTGTGATCCGCAGCCCGCTCAGCAGTCAATGCTGTAACAGGGCATCCACAGTAGTGGCAGTCAGTGCTGGGTCGCTGTTGCTGGGCCACCACAGCAACCCAGCACTGACTTCCAGTTGGCTGAACCTTTAGTTGTGACGTGATGACCCTGGCTCTATATATATATAGATAAGGACAAGTCAGGAAAAGCTTTACCACAATCGCTGCATCCCTAGGGTCGGTCTCCTGTATGTTTTCTTTGATGAACATTGAAACTTGACTTCATAGTGAAGGCTTTTCCATCTTTATTGCATTCATAGTGTTTCTCTTCTGTGTTCATTCTGATGGGTAATGAGATTATTTTTGCACAATGAGAATTTCCCACGTTCAGAACATGAAAAGTCTTTCCTTAGTGAAATGTCTGATGTTGCACGAGGCATATCTTTTTCCTAAAGCCTTCACCACATCCATTGCATTTGTATGGCTTCTCTGTGGTATGAATTTGTTGATGTATACTTAGAGTATTCTTCATGGTGAAGTCCATTCATGGCATATAGTTTATCTGCATATGAATTTGCAGAGGTGCAATGAGCAGGCTTTTGCCAGGTTAGCCTTTGACACATTCATTGAATATTTAAGGTTTCTCTTACATATAAGTGCACCAATGTACACTGAGATCACTCTTCATGGTGAAGCCATTTCCACATACACTACATACATAAGGCTTCTCTCCTGTATGTTTGCTGTTGTCAGATGGCAGGGCTCCTTAAGAGGAAGCCTTTCCCACATTCACTACAACATACGAGGTTTCCCTCCTGTATGAATCCGCTGATGTACAATCAGCTTGTTTTTCACTGCGAAGCCTTTTCCACATTCACTGCACACATAGGGTTTCTCTCCCGTGTGAATGCGCCGATGTACACTGAGTTTGTACTTCTGAGTAAAGCCTTTCCCACATTCTTTACACATGTATGGTTTCTCAGAAGTATGAGTTTGCTCATGGACAGTAAGACCCCCCTTCATACTGAAGCCTTTTCCACATACATTGCATACATAGGGTTTCTCTCCTGTATGTGCTCGTTGGTGTCTGATGAGAGGGCACATCCAGGGGAAGCATTTCCCACATTCATTACATACATAAGGTTTATCTCCAGTATGAATTCGCTGATGTACAATGAGGCAGTGCTTCATTGAGAAGCCTTTCCCACATTCACTACACACATACGGTTTCTCTAAAGTATGAGTTCTTCGATGTACAGTGAGATCAGTCTTCATGGTGAAGCCTTTTTCACATACAATACATACATAGGGCTTCTCTCCTGTATGTGCTCGCTGATGTCTGATTAGAGTGTTCTTCCAAGTGAAGTCTTTCCCACACTCATTACATATGTAGGGTTTCTCTCCAGTATGA